TATATTTTTGTCTTCAATGTCCTGAATTTGGGCTTTTATTTTGGTGATCTGGATTCTTCTATTGAAGTTAGGGTTTTGGAGGTCTTGCTTTTCCAGCTTCCTTAGGCTGTTAACTTGTGATCTTTCCATTTTCTTCATGTGTGATTGTAGAGATATGAATTCCCCTCTTAGGACTGTTTTCATGACATTCCAGAGATTTTGATAAGATGTTTCTTTGTTTTCATTTGTTTCCAGGTATCTTTTAACCTCTGTTTTTATTTCCATGTTGACCCAGGAGTTGTTTAGCATCATGGTGCTTAGTGCCCATGTCTTTGTGGGTTTGGGGGGGAACTTTGTTACTTTGTTGGTGTTGATATTTATTTTTATTCCACTGTGGTCTGAAAAGGTGCATGGCAGAATTTGAATCTTATGGAACTTTTAAATGCTTGATTTATGTCCAAGGATGTGGTCAATTGTAGAGTACATTCCCCGTGGTGATGAGTAGAATGTATATTCTGTGAGTTTTGGGTGGAGTGTTCTATAGGTGTCAATTAAGTCCGTTTGGTCAGGCATCACATTGAGTTTCTGGAACTCCTTATTGACTCTTGTCTTGATAATCTATCTAGGGTTGTTAGTGGGGTGTTTAAGTCCCCAGCTATGATAGTGTTTGAGTTGATATCCTTTTTTAGTTTACTTAGAAGCTGTCTTATGAAAGTTGGTGCTCCCATGTTGGTTGCATATATGTTTAGGATGGATATTTCTTGTTGATGGATTTTTTTTTTTTTGAGTTGGAGTCTCACTCTGTCACCCAGACTCACTGCCCAGGCGGGTCTCGAATCTGCGGGCTCAGGCAATCCACTCACCTCAGCCTCCCAAAGGCGTGGGATTACAGGCTGAGCCACCGAGCCAGGTGATGGATTTTTATCATTGTGTAGTGACCTTTCATATCTTTTTAAATTTTTGATAGCTTAAAAGGTATTTTTTCTAATATTAAGATGAAACTTAGCTTAGCTGGGTAGATAATTCTTGGTTGAAATTGTATATCTTTGAGAATTTTGAAGGTTGGACTCCAAGCTCTCCTAGCCTGAAGTGTTTGTGTAGATAAGTCTGCTGCTATTCTAATTGGTCTTCTCCAGTAAGTAGTCTGAACTTTCTCTCTTCCTGCCTTTAGGACTTTTCTTTTACACCTACTTTGTGTAGGCGAATTACTATGTGTCTGGAAGTAGGTCTTCTCATTTGTTGTTTTGCAGTGGTTCTCTGAATCTCTTGTATTTGAATGGTAGTGTCACTGATAAGATGAGGAAGTTTTCTTGGATAATTTCATGGAATGTTTGTGCCAAGGTGGTCTCTGTATATCTGCCTCAGAGATTCCATTTAATCTTAATTTTGGCCTCTTGAATAATTGCTCATCTCTTGGAGGTTTTGTTCTGTCATTTTAAGCTTCTTTTCTATGTTTTCAACAGTTTGAATTAGTTCCATATTTTGGTCCTCAAGTTATGAGATTCTTTCTTCTTCTTGGTTAATTTTGCTTTCCATGCTTGTCAGTTTGTTGTTTATTTCATTCACTGTATTTTTTATTGCTGTTATCTCAGTTATCAACTCCTTCATTCTTTCCTCTTTTCTCTCCTCATTTCTATTTACTCTCTTTTGATATCTGGGTTTGTGGTTTGAGACCAGTCATTCTGGGGGCTCTTCATTGTTTGAGTTCCAGAGTCTGTATTCTCAGTGGCTGACCTCCCAGGGGTCTGTGTGAAACTCGTATTCTTCCCTTGGTTTTTCCTCATTTGTGCAGGTTTTCCTCTTTCCATTTTTTTTTTTTTTACCTCTTCTTTAATGCTGTTGTTCAGTGATGGGGGATAACTTTTATTTCTGTTTGCTCAATCTTCTTTTTTTTTTGAGTTAGAATCTCACTCTGTCACCCAGACCAGAGTGCAATGGCCGCTCCTGGCCACTGCAGCTTCGACCTGCTGGGCTCCAGCGATCTTTCTGCCTCAGCCTTCCAAGTAGCTGGAACTACAGGTGTGTGCTACCACGCCTGGCTAATTTTTTATTTATTGTAGAGACGAGGTCTTGCCAAGTTGTCCAAGCAGGTCTCGAACCCGCGGGTTCAGGCAATCCACTCACCTTGGCCTCCCAAAGTGCTGGGATTACAGGCTGAGCCACCAAGCCCGGCCATGCTCAATCTTCTATTCTTCCTTATGTAGAGCCTCTGGTTTTGTTCAATTCTGAAGCTGGACTAGGGGTGGGGGCCTGTGCTTATTGCAGTTTTGAGATTTAATTGATGGGGGAGCTGTGATTCAGAAGGTATCTGCAGATCCCAGTATCTGCTGACAAGTGTGTGGACCCTCTGAAATCCACTTCCCACTGCCTTACAATCTGTCTATGCAGTGGGGTTGTATGTTTGCTCCCTGAAAGCAAAATGAGTTAAGAAAAGGGAAAAGGAAAGAGAAAGACAAAAGGGAGGTAGAGAGAGAGAGAAGAAAAGGGAAAATAGATAGGCGTGCTAACTAACAAATAAACAGAGAGACAAAGACAGAAAAAACAAAAAAGGCAAAAACATACAGACCCCACAAACAAATAGACAAAAACCCCTTGTTGGTGTTCTCTCCCTCAAAAATACCCATATATAATAGAGAATCTAAAAAAAAATTAAAATAACAGAAACAAGGCAAGTACAAAAACATAAACAAAAACAGAAAGAAAGAGAGAAGAAAAAGCTAAAACTAAAACAAAAAACAAACAAGAAGAAAAACAAAAACTCACTCTGTTTTTGTGAGTCTAGGTCCCTCAGGTCTCTGCCTCTGGGAGTGGCTCTGATCTCCAGGCCCTCCCTCTGCTCTCAGTGCAGGCCAGTAGGGCTGCTCCCAGCATGAGTCAGATACCCCACAGACTAGTGTGGGAGGAGTGAATCTGATCCAGACTCACCCTAATCACTGCTGCTGCTGCTGTCAAGTCTCCCAATCAGATCTGACGTGTCTGTGCCTGTTCCAGCATGGGGGGAGGGGCATCTGTCTCTCCTAGTCTGATGAAATAATAGCCTCTGGGTCCCAAAATGGAGGCTGGGTGGAGTTAGGTGGAGCAATGCAAGTCTCTGCCTGGTCTGGCACTGAGAAGATGGCACCCGTTGACATCCTGTCACTGGCATTGGAACTTTATTCCAGATTTCCACTACCTGACTTTTCGTGTCAGTTCTGCTGCTGCAGGTGATGGCATGAGCTGGGTGCCAGTACTGAGGGGGTGACTGTTCTCTGCTGCCTCCTCTCAAGAGAGCCCTGAGAATTGCAGATGATCTTGCGCATACGGGTCTCCAATCTCAGGGAGGTGGTGGGTTGCAGTCACCTCCAGAAGAGAGCCCCAGGTGCATGAACCCGAGTCTCCCCTCAGACAGACTTTCACTCACCCACTGACACACACACACTGAAGCAGAGAGTCTTTATGGACACTCGCTTTTGCGGAGACTCTCACAGTCTGACCTGTTACATCGCCATCTTGCCCAGAAGTCCTAACTTCAAACTTACCTCTATTAATTGCTTTCTCCCTCATCATCCTTTGAACTTGTCTTCTGTTAATCAGTAAAGTAACTAGATAGATAACTGTGATTGATTTTGTGTTTGGTGTAATACCTAGCATACCTTTTGCTCATTATGGAGGTTTTAAAAATAATGTTTAATTGATACTTCTCATCAATCATTCATCAAGAAATTATTGAGTGCTTACTATGTGCCTATTTTGTTATAGGGGACACTATGAGTGAGTAAGATAGGGTCCTTGCTCTCCTAAGATGAGATTCGAGTGGAGGAGATAGCAATAAAAATAATAAACCAATAATTAAGATAATTTCAGACAGTGAGAAGAGTTTTAAAGATGCTATACAATGGCAAAATAATAGATCATGCCAGGGTGCTGGGAAATGAAAGCCGGTGCCCTTTTCATAGTTGAATAAGAGTATTTCTTTCTTTTTTTTTTTTTTTTTTGAGTTGGAGTCTCACTCTGTCGCCCAGACTAGAGTGCAGTGGCCGCTCCCGGCCACCGCAGCCTCGACCTGCTGGGCTCCGGCTATCCTTCCGCCTCAGCCTTCTGAGTAGCCGGAATTACAGGCATGCACTACCATGCCCGGCTGATTTTTTTGATTTATTGTAGAGATGAGGTCTCGCTGCCCAGGTGGGTCTCGAACCCGCGGGCTCAGGCAATCCACTCACCTCAGCCACCCAAAGGTGCGGGATTAGAGGCTGAGCCATTGAGCCTGGCAAGAGTATTTCTTTCTAAGGAAACAGAGTAAGTAGGAGAGAGCACAAGACGAGATTAAAAAGGTAAGCATGAACTAGATCACTTATAGCTTTGGAAGCCATGGAGAAAGAGCTGAATCTTATTCTGGTTTTGAGAGGATGTCACTGGAGGGATGTAAGCAAGAAAATGATATGATTTAATTTATTTATATTTTAGAAAGAGCACCATGGTAGGAAGGGAGGGAAAAGGATCTGGCTTTGAACGTGGTGAATAGATACCAGGTGAGGAGGGGTGAAGGCACAGAGGCTAGGGTGAAAGAAATACTTGCAATACTCTTGGCAAGTGATGATGCTAAATTGGTGGTGATGAAGGTGGAGTAATGTGGTGAGAGATAGCAGGGTTTCCTGCTGGATTGGGTGGAGGCAGGGTGATGAAAGAGAGAAATTATGTTTGATTTTCAAATGTTGGTTTTAGCCATTGGAGTGAATAGAGGTGCCTTTTACTGAGATGGGGCTCACTGGAAAGTAACAGGTATGTGGGGAGAAATCATGACAGCACAGAATGTGATAGAAGCCAATTCTGAGTAAGGTGTTTTGCTTAAAGGGAAAATAAATCTGGTACTTCCAAAATCTCTGATGTCATGTTTTACTATATCACATTGTAGTAATGATTTTCTGCAACTTGCCAAAGTGTGCTAAACTAGGCAAGTAAATGTATAATTTGAATAATTTTTAGAGAGTTAGGAAGATGCTCTTGTGCATTTACCAATTTGGCTCTTGTTTCTTCCTGAGCAGATCTGCAAAGCGGCTTGCCATTCTCTTTGTGAACCTGTGTGTCACTGCGGAGGCCCATGAGGTCTCTGCTCTCTGGTTTCTGTGGTACGTGAAACAATGTGGAGGGACAACAAGAATCATCTCAACAACCAATGGAGGGCAGGTACCCATCCATTCCCCCATCATCCCAACAGAAAACCACCACTACTGAAATGAATGATACACATCAGTCTTTAATCATGAACTGCTGAAGCAGGGGACAGGCTTATGACTTTTGGAGCTTTACTATTTATGTTTGAGAGCATAACAGCTCAAAGTGGCTTTTGCAAGGGAGAGTCTGTTGTCAAGTACCCACTGTGAGACCCCCATGACCGATGCAATTGTAGAACTAGGCTTGTCTCTATGTACTGTTGCCATTTTCCATCTGGATATACATTCCATTATTATTTGGTAAGTTTGTAGGGGAACATCTGGAGACCTTAGCTCGAACACTTCTTAGAAAGCTCAAAAAGGAAATTCAGAAATGCATTTTCAATTTAAAACACACATACCACACATGAAATTCATTCATTCAGTGCCTATTTCCTGAGCCTCGATATTGTATAAGTCACTGTGCTAGGCATAGTAGGGAACAGATTAGAGTTCTTAGATAATCTTCTTGGTTTTCATGTTCATTTCTTTCCCCTTCTCCTTTTCCTCTTCTTCCTTTTCATCCCCTTCCTCTTTCTCCTCCTCCTCCTTCTTCTTTCTGGAACATAACTGAACTGAAAATTGAGGAGGCAGTCAGCTCAATTGTGTGCACATTCAGGTAGAACATTTGGAAGCCTCAGCAGGGCTTGGGATAGGTGGGTGCAGTGCAGTGAAATGACCTCAGTGTCTGCAGGAGCAGCAGACACCTTACCCAGGGATAAAACCCTGCAAGAGAAAGTAGGCCAGCCTGGGGGGAAAGAGCATGGTGGGGGACTTGGAGGCTCTGAGTCCGAGTCATATGATAGGGGAAAACAGGCAAGCCAGGGCAGAACTTTAGGTAGGGCCTTCTCTAGGCCAAGCAGCTCAACCAAATAGTGCAGATGAGACAGAGAACAGGGATGGTGACCAGACCGGTGGGACATAGGGGTCATTCTGAAGGTGTTCAGCTGAGGCTGGAGCCTGGGAACCCACAAAAGCATAGCCTGGAAGGTGACTTGGAAAACCTTCAATGTTGTCCAAAGCCAGCAAGTCCCAGTTAGAAAACGATGGTGAAAGACACTACTCACAACATGAAATGTTATACAACTTAGAGTAAATCTGTGTGAGGAAAACTAGCAACTTAGCAATGTATGCCCACTCCTGTACTTCCCACCCACCTTGAGTCCTTTTCTTTTCAGGAGAGGAAATTTGTGGGTGGATCTGGTCAAGTGAGTGAGCAGATAATGGACCTCCTTGGGGACCGAGTGAAACTGGAGAGACCTGTGATCCGCATTGACCAGACAGGAGAAAATGTCCTTGTAGAGACCCTAAACCATGAGGTGTATGAGGTAACTGTGGGATTGTAAATATCTATTTGGTCTTCCTCCCAGTTTATTGACACCTAACTTCCTAAGATCCTTGGACTCTCTAAAGTGCTGTCTTTTGTATGCTAATGATTGTCTGGTGACCGGCAGCACCTAGGCAGCTTCAGGATGGGGCTCATGACCTGAAAAACCAAGGCAGGATTAGAGGGTTTGGGACTTTCAGCTCCACCTCCAATCTCCAAGGAGAGGAAAGGGGCTAAATGTTGAATTGATCACCAATGGTCAATGACTTAATCAATCATGGCTGTGTAATGAAGCTTCCACAAAAACTCAAAGGTCGAGATTCAGAGCTTCCAGTTAGCTGCACACATGGAGGATCCTAGAGGTTGGCACACCAGGGGAGGACATGGAAGCTCCACGCTCCTTCCCACGTGGCTTGCCCTATGCATCCCTTAATCTCTCCCCTTTGTAATATTCTTTATGATAAACTGGTAAATGTAAGTCAGTGTTTCCCTGAGTTCTGTGAGTGGCTCTAGCAAATTAATCAAATTCAAAAAGGGGACCATGGGAACCCCAGCTTGAAAATGGTTGGTCAAAGTTCTGTAGGTCTGGATTGCAGCTGATGTCTGAAGTGGGGCAGTCTTGTGGGAATAAGCCCTCAACCCATGGGATCTGATGCTATAAGCAGGTAGATAGTATTGGAATTGAATTGGAGGACACCCAGCTGGTGTTCGCTGCAGAATTGCTTGCTTCCCTGGTGTGTGTGGAAAAATGTCTTCTGTGTTGATTGTTGTTGAGTGAGAGAATAGAAAAAGCACTTTAGTTTGAGTTTTTTCCACTCAGAGTAATCAAGATCCTTAAACTATGGGGGAAGAGGCCAGAGTTCCATAAATAATCAAAACTTAAATAAAGCCCAAAATATCCCAGACTTAAAAATTAGTCCCTTTGCCAAAAGTAACAAAACTCCTGTATCTGAAAAAGAGAATCAGAATATCTGGGGGGAGGGAGTAGAGAGTATTTACAAAAACATATAAAGGTATTATCAATCCTCTGTATTGGGCTCTTGTATAATTGGAAAACCACCACAGAAAATATTTATTCGATAAATGTCAAACACCTCCTATGTGCCTGACATTATTCTCAGAGCTGTGAACACAGTTGTGAACAAAACAGATACAAAACAGATGCAATTCTCTGTCTTCATGCAATTCTTCTTCTAGCGAAGGAGAAAGGTTATAATCAAATATATGGTTAACATATGAAGAATATCAGATAGTGATAAGTGGAGTGGAAAAAAATCAGGCAGGGAAGGAGGAAAGAGTGTACCAGAAAGTGGGATGGGAGGATTGGTCACAGAAGTTTAAATAAGGTCATCAAGGAAGGCCTCACTGAAAAGGTAATAGAGCATGGAACTGAAGGAGATGAGGGATTGACCCATTTGTCTCCTTGGGGGTAGTGTGGTGCTGGTAGATGAAACAGCCAGTGCCAAGACCCTGAAAGCCTGGCATAATCAAGGAACAGCAAGGTGGTCAAAATGACATAAGACAAAGAGGAGTGAGGGGAAGAGCAGGTGGGATCAGAGATATAACAGGTCCATTTCATGCATGGCTTTAGAAGTGATTGTGAGGAACTTGGCTTTGACTCCATGTGCTGAGTCATTGGAGGTCTTGAGCTAAAGAACAGTAAAGGCTACTTTAGGGTTTAATAAAGTCCTTCAGGCATCTTTGTTAAGAAGAGACTTAGATGTAATAAGGGTAGAATGAGAGAGAATCATTAGGAAGAAACAAAAACAACAAGGCAACCATGTTTAACCACGCTGCTTTTCTTTCAGGCTAAATATGTGATTAGTGCTATTCCTCCTATTCTGGGCATGAAGATTCACTTCAATCCCCCTCTGCCAATGATGAGAAACCAGCTGATCAGTCGTGTGCCTTTGGGTTCAGTCATCAAGTGTATGGTTTATTATAAAGAGCCCTTCTGGAGGAAAAAAAGTGAGTACTTTCCTTATATAAAAACCTTCAGAAGAAGGTCTAAGAAACTTGGTGCTAAGACATGTATTTGCGTATAACTGTTTTTATTAGAATGCTAGACAAAAAATATTAGTCTAGGTTCTAAATACAATTCTTGCAAATAAAATATATTGGCACAGACTCATGGAATGAACTTTCCTTGGAATAAACCAACCTTTTTTATAAATTAATAAAAAGTATGTAATCCTTCCATAAAATCTTATGAGAAGAGGTGATTAACCTTTGCTAATACAGTTTTTTAAAAGTATTTAAAAGGTTGATAAAGCTATTCACAAAGGTTGGGATTCTGAAAATTTTCCAGCCATCTCTCATTAGTGTCCAGATTCTACTACATTAAATTTATTTATTCATTCATATATATTCAATAAGTTTGCTACTCGACTAGATAGAACATTCCAGGGATGCTCACTGAATTGCTAGGTTCTACAATGGTGGGAATGTCCTAGAGCTGCTCTGCTTAATACACTAGTCACTAGCTACATGTGGGTACTGAACACTTGAAAGGTAATGAGACTGAGGGACCAGATATTTAAATTCAATTGCATTGTAATTGCTTTAAATGTAAATGTAAGTAGCTGCACATGGCTAGCACAATGCTAGAGTCTTACTACATTTGCTCTTATCACATCTACTTTTCTTCCAAGTAGAGACCATGTAAGAAAACTCAGCACCTGGGACAAAGACCAAAGGGCAGGATGAACTGAAAGGAATAGTGAGACTGCAGAAAGGAGAAGGTTGGGCTGGAGGCAAATGGGGAATGTGCCACTGTTTGGCGATAGGGTGATTCTTCCTGTATACTATCCTTTTTCAGTTTTATCACAGACTCCTCATTCTCCACCCTGCAGATTATCATGTTTAGGACTGTTACTGGATTGGTGCATCAGTTTAACAAGTAATGTACTCTTTGCAAAGGTCAACGCAGTGACCCACCCTAAGGAGTCCTGTCCTTTTAGTCTTTGAATCTAATGGCAGCAGCACACTAGTGCTGAGTTGCTTCTTTTTGTTACCCAGGCAACCATTTTAGATAGCTGATTGGTAACAAGGTGATGGGGTTTAGGACCAGGTATACAGTCTTCTCTTAATGACTATGAATGCCTTTATTTGTGGAGAGAATCTATAACTTTCCATTTATGCCTACAAAACTTTATCTTTATCTTAGGCCTGCTATGTGCCAGGTAAGTCATTAGGCATGAATATACAAACAAACAACAATGACAACAACAAAAACAAAAGAAAATAAAACACAAGTTCTTTACCCTTTGGATCTGATTTGGCACAAACCTTGAGTAAGACTTAAAAAAAAATGATTGCTGCTGGGCTCGGTGGCTCAGCCTGTAATCCCGCGCCTTTGGGAGGCTGAGGTGAGTGAATTGCCTGAGCCCGCGTGTTCGAGACCCGCCTGGGCAGCAAGACCTCATCTCTACAATAAATCAAAAAATCAGCCGGGCATGGTAGCGCATGCCTGTAATTCCAGCTACTGAGAAGGCTGAGGCGGAAGGATCGCCGGAGCCCAGCAGGTCGAGGCTGCGGTGGCCGGGAGCAGCCACTGCACTCTAGTCTGGGCGACAGAGTGAGACTCCAACTCAAAAAAAAAAAAAAAAGATTGTAGACATGAGATAGCCTCATCAAAGCATTTGAGAGTTCTTGTGAGTTACAACTTGAATGTATTTCTTCAACTAGCCATTATTGAACACCTATTGTATGCCAGCCATTGTGCAAGGTATTGGGAATTCAAAGGCACCTCTGTGGAAAACAGTGTGGCCATTCCTAAAAGATCTAAATATCGACCTTCCATACAACCCTGCAATCCCCCTTCTGAGAATATACCCAGAGGAGCTCATTCTATAAAAGAGATACCTGCACCTGCGTGCTTATTGCAACATTCTTCACAATAGCAAAAACATGGAACTAACCGAGCTGCCCATCAAAAGTGGACTGGATAAAAAATGTAGTACAAATACATGATGAAATATTACGCAACCATAAAGCAGGGCAAAATTATGGACTTCGCAGCAACTTGGATGGATTTAAAGTCTACAATACTCAGTGATCTATCACAGAAACAAAGATCTGAGCACCACATGTACTTACTCATAAGCAGACCCTGAACATTTATCGTAGTACTGTAAGAAAGGGATTGGTAGTGGGCGGCTTCTGCCAGGGGGAGGCACATAACATCAGTAAGGGTACCCGATCTCAAACCAGGTGAAGTGGAGATCAAAGGGAGACCCAAACTTTACCTGTACAATGACCACTTATGTACCTAACCCTAAAGTGTACCCCACATCTTTAAATTAATAAATAAAACAAACAAACAAAAAAACACAAAGGCATTTTTCCCTATCCAAAAACAAAAAACAAATGCAAGCTCAGGCGGAAGACAGTCATGCAAACTGGTAATTGAATAACAATTATGGCAACATCGAAGGGGCTTCAAAACTCACAGCCAATATGATTCCTGTTAGACTGATAAGCAATTCAATAACACTTATTTGAAGGATTTTATAATGAAATCTAAAGATGTCAACTCTCATAACAGGGTCTTTGCTTTGCATCAGACTGTCAGTGTCACTGCCAAAGACACTATAATTGACTAGTAGCACAACAGCTCAGGCAATATGAGCTAACAAGATAGAAGGGGGTAAATTTTGCAGCCCCAAACAGCCTAGCACAATTACTAGCACCTATCAGGCACACAGCAAGCAACTATTCAAGTTTTGTTTATTTATTTATTTTTTTGCTTTGTTTTATTTTACAAGTTTAGTGTGACTTGGGTTATTAAAGAGAAGGTCATTTTTGTGCTTTGATACAGTCATAGCTGATTCTTGATTGCTTCTCCCCCCCCACATTATGCTGAACACTGCTTTTATTTTATTTTTGATTGTATATATTTAAGGTGTACATCATTTTATATACAGCGGTGCCAAAAAAGTATGCATATTTTAAGAGATGTTATTATGTATCAGTTTTAGTTTGTCATAATCAGAAGTGTTTGGATGTTGATGGTAACCACTTTGAGCACCTCTTGTAATTGCAGAAGTCAAACATGACTTGTATTCATCTTATTGAGTATTACAATTTTAATACAGGTTTTCCTTTCTTAAAATGTGTATACTTTTTTTGGCATCCTGTGTGTGTGTGTGTGTGTGTGTGTGTGTGTGTGTGTGTGTGTGTGTGTGTGTATTAAATGGTGAAGTGATCTGTAGACAAACAAATTAGCATATCCATCTCTCACATGATTGCCTTGTGTGTGTAGTGAGAGCACTTGATTACTTGTAGGTTGATTATCCCAGAAAGGGTTTCCCAGGCTCTTGGTATGTAACATCTTTGTAAAGTTGCAAAGAGTCCTGAAAGGTCCAGACAACAGTCAGAAGGGCGTCCCCAAGATGGCTCTGCCTCCCAAAGACAACAAAGGCCCTAAGCGGCTTTTCCTGCCTGCGCAAAACTTAAACCTGTGCTCAAACAACCTCTCCCTATAGAAATGCTACCTCATAGTCTCCTCCAATAAAACTCAGGCATGGCACTGGCCTACCCCTGCAAGGTTCATAAATATACCTTTCTGCCTGCATAGCTCTCTCTCTCTCTCTTGCTTTCTCTCTCTGTCCCCACCACTCTCTTGTTTACTCTCTCTCTCTCCTTCTCTCTCACTCTTTCTCTTTCACTCTCTCTCACCCTCTCTCTCTCTCTCTCTCCCTCTCTCACTTTCTCTCACACTCTCTCGCCCTCTCTCCCTCCCCTTGCTTTCTCTCTCTGTCCCCGCCACTCTCTTACTCTCTTACTCTCTTTCTCTCTCAGTCTCTCTTTTTCTCTCTCTCTTGTCCTTCCTCGGTTACAGTCCCTTCGTGTAACTGCCCCTTTAATAAATCTCTTGGTTCGGACCGGTGTGGAGTCGTTACTGGTGCCAAAAACTTCTTTCAAGTCCCCTCTTCTTTGCTGGTCTTCCACCATGTCATCCTAAGTCCAGCTGCCCTCCTCAGGACTGCCTCAGCTCTTCATCTCAGCCCACTTTTGTGGAGAGGGAAGGCTGTTAGCAAAGCTTTGAACTCTTGCTGACCCCTTGCTTTTACTGGGCTAGGAAACTTTTCCACTTTTTCTTAAATCTTTACATCTGATTTATATCAATGTGTGTTGTTGATGATGAGAGCTATGTCTGCTGAAAAAAATTATAGAAGTAAACTTAGTGACCATCAAACCGTCAAATAATAAAAGCATATAAAAATATTTCTCAGCCTGGTGCAGTGGCTCACACCTGTAATTCCAGCACTTTGGGAGACTGAGGAGAGAGGATTGCCTGAGCACTTGAGTTTGAGGCCAGCCTGAGCAACACGGCAAGTCCTCATCTCTGCAACAAATCAAAAAAATTGGCTGGGAGTGGGGCGCATGCCTGTAGTTCCAGTTATTTGGAAGGCTGAGGTGAAAGGATCGCCTGGGCTCAGTAAGTCGAGGCTGCAGTGACCCTGAGTGTGTCACCACACTCCAGCCTGGGCGACAGAGTGAGACTCCAACTCAAAAATTAAAAAAAATATGTATTTATCTCCTATTCCTCCTCCCCCTAGGGAACCACCATTAGAAATTCAGATTGTTTATCTTTAAGGACTTATTGTATGCAAAGGTAATACAGGTTGAAGAGATCCTCCTTCTTTGGTCTCCCAAAGTGCTAGGATTACAGGCATGAGCCACCATGCCCAGTTGTGGTCTCAAGCATTTCAGACAAAGAATTCACAACTTGTATTTTAAATATATGTGTACACACACACACACACACACACACACACACACACACAGAAATACGTATATAGAGGAATATATATAGTGTAAATGTATATTAAATAATATGTATAAAATTTGTATGCAAATGTTATTTTAAATGTTTTTCCAAAAGCATAATTTTTTAAACATTATGTATGCATATCATACTGAAATTTGCTTTTTCTTGTTAACAATATGACACGGATCTCTCCACAGCAGTGCATTTAAATCTTTCTCCTTCTATGGCTCTATTACAAGTAGATCTGCTGTTACACACCATGCTGCCATAAACAGCTTCCTCTTTAGAGCTCTACAGATTGGTGTAGAAGCGTTTCTTTTTGATAGATTGTAAAATGGAATTATGAAGTCAATTGATTTGAATACACCTTTGCAATTTTGGTAGAGCTTCTGTCCTTTCACATCCTTGCCAGCTAATATATTTTGGATATTTGTTCCCTCCAAATCTCATGTTGAAATTTGGTCCCCAGTGTTGGAGGTGGGCCCTAATGGGAGGTGTTTGAATCATGGAGGTATATCCCTTATGAATGGCTTGGTGCTATCCTCATGGAAATAAATGAGTTCTGGCTCTATTAGTTCCCAGGAGAGCTGATTGTTAAAAAGAACCTGGCACCTCTCTCTTCTCTCTTTTGCTTTGTCTCTCACCATGTGATATGCACACACTGGTAACCCTTCACCTTCCACCATGAGTGGGAATTTCCTGAGACCCTTAGAACTATGAGCCAAATAAATCTCTTTTCTGTATACATTACTCAGCCTTAGGTATTTCTTTATAGCAACACCAGCAGACTAAGACACCAGTTAATAATATTTTTTAATTTTTTTGCCAATCAGGAAGAGGAAATTATTATTTACCTATAATTTGTAGTTCTATCATTAATAAGGCTTAGGAGCTATATCATTTTTTTTTTTTTGAGTTGGAGTCTCACTCTGTCGCCCAGACTGGAGTGCAGTGGCCGCTCCCGGACACTGCAGCCTTGACCTGCTGGGCTCCGGCGATCCTTCCGCCTCAGGCTTCCCTATAGCTGGAACCACAGGTGCACACTACCACGCCCGGCTAATTTTTAAAATTTATTGTAGAGATGAGGTCTCGCCAAGTTGCCCAGGCGGGTCTCGAATTCGTGGGCTCAGGCAATCCACTCACCTCAGCTTCCCAAAGGCACGGGATTACAGGCTGAGCCACCGAGCCCGACTGGGGCTATATCATATTATCAATTGCCTATTTATCCTTTGCTCATCAATTTTTTTTCTGTATGTATTACATATATTTTCTCCTAGTGAGGCAGTTTTTAACAATGTATTTATGATGGTTTTCTCCAACTCAATTCTCATATATACATGGGGGTTTTTTATTCCACTAATCCTTGTCATCAAGCTTCAAATATTTTTTGCAGTTCTATACATAATAACATGTGAACACAAACTACCATATACATATGTATTCCTACATTATATGTGCGTGTATTTGAAAATTATATTGTTGTAACTATAAAACATACAAAGTAGATTTTTTTAAACCTGAAATTTAAAAACGAGAATTTCTGGTATTTCTTTCCACTATCTAGATGTACAGTCTAGGTGGTGGAAGAAACCCCACTTTGGAGAGCATAGATTTATATTATTCTCACTTTGGAAAGCACAGATTTATATTATCTAGTTTGATGCACTATACTCTTTAAATAATCACTATAATTTTATATGTTTACTATCAGGTAGGACATTTCTCTTATCCTTATTTTCCTTTAATTTTGTCCTCGGTAAGTTTCTTCAGTTGTTCTTCCAGATGATTGTTATTGTCATTTCCTCAGAACTCCCCCCTCCACACCCCTCCACTCAAAAAAACTTCTATTGAATGATTTCATTCTAAATAGTCTTCTTTATCACCTCCCATAGTTACAAAATCTCCTTTTTCTCTCTTAGAATGTTGTTTAGCACTTTGGGGGAAATGTCTTCTACTCCCAGAATCATTGCTTTTTTCTTTTCACCTAAGAGTCCCTTCTGGTTTATTTGTTCGTTGTTTGTTTCTGTTTTTGTTTTTGTTTTTGTCTTTAAGGGCTTCTTTAAATGTCTTTACATATCCTTAAATATCCCCTCGTTTTTTAAGAGTGAGGTCCCACAAAGATTATGGGATGCTCTATGTGCATGAGTGGGGCTCCTGAGCTTTCTTCCTGCAACTACTAGAAATCCCACTGACAATGCATGGTTTATCCTGGCATGAGCATTACTTTTCTCTCTGTCCCTTGTTTCTTTATTTCCATCAAGTGCACCTCCTACCTGACTCAGAGGAAATCTCCCCTCTGAGGCCTTGGGAAACTTCCCAAGGAGTCCTCCCCCCACCCCATCCAGAAAGCAGCACCTTTACCCTGGCCAGCATGGCGTCCTATGCTAGCTATTTGTCCATTCCATCTGATCCCTGCATAATCAATGTGTACTTGCTCTTTGATCAGATCTTGTCCTATTTGTCTCTGATCTCTCTTGCCCTTTTATAAAAGGTGATTCCTTAGCTGGTTCTCTTATATTCTTAAATCTTATATTCATAAAGTCATTTATGAAGGTGGCTACACTAAACAACAGCTTTTCATGTGGTCAAAACAGCCTTATACTGGAAGAAGATACCTCCTAAGACTTTCATAGCTAGAGAGGAGAAGTCAATGCCTGGTTTCAAAGTTTTAAAAAACAGGCTGACTCTCTGGTTAGGAGATAACGCTGCTAGTGATTTTAAGTTGAAACCAATGCTCCTTTGCCATTCTGAAAATCCCAGGGCTCTTAAGAATGCTAAATCTACTGTTCCTGTGATTTGTAAATGGAACAATAAAGCCTAGATGATAGTACATCTGTTTACAGCATGGTTTACTGAGTATTTTAAGCCCACTCTTGAGATCTACTGCTCAGAAAAATGATTCCTCAAAAGATTACTGCCCCTTGTACCTGGTCACCCAAGAGCTCTGATGGATGCACAAGGACATTAATGCTGTTTTCATGCCTACTAACACACCATTCTGTAGCCCATGGGTCAAGGAGGAATTTCAATTTTCAAGTCTTATTATTTAAGAAATACATTTTGTAAGACTGTAGCTAACCTAAAATCTTGCCTCTCCAATGGATGGATCTGAGTGATGTAAATTGAAAATCTTCTGGAAAGGATTAACTATTCTTGATGCTATTAAGGACATTTGTGATTCACGGAAAGAGGCCGAAATATCAGTGTTAGCAGGAGTTTGGGAGTTGATTCCAACCCACTGACTTTGAGGGGTTCATGACTTCAGTGGAATAGGTAACTGCAGATGTGGTGAATATATCAAGCGAACAAGAATTAGAAGTGAAGCCTGAAGATGTGACTTAATTGTTGCAATCTCATAATAAAACTTGAATGGATGAAGAGTTGCTTGTTATGGATGAGCAAAGAAGGCGGTCTCCTGAAATGGAATCTACTCCTGGTGAAAATACTGTAAACATTGTTGAAATGACAGCAAAAGATTTAGAATGTTCCATAAACTTATAAACTTAGTTGATAAATGGATAGCAGGGTTTTAGAGAATTGACTCTAATTTTGAAAGAAGTTCTACTGTGGATGAAATGCTATCAAACTATTGCATGCTACAGAGAAATATTTCCTGAAAGGAAGAGTCAGTCAATGGCGGCAAACTTTATTGTTGTCTTTAAAAAATTGCCACAGCCACCTCAGCCTTCAGCAACCACCCCTGTGATCAGTCAGTAGTCATCAACGTTGAGGCAAGAACCTCCACCAGCAAAAAAACCTATGATTCACTGATGGCTCAGATTACCGTTAGCACTTTTTAGCCACAAAGTATTTTTAAATGAAAGGATGTATATTTTTTAATCATAATGCTAGTACTCTGTTAAAAGACTGCAGCATGGTACAACCATAACTTTTATATGCACTGGGAAGCCAAAAAATGTGTGCGACTTGCTTTATTGTGATGTTCATTTTGTTGCGGTGGTCTGGAACCAAGTGTACATTATCTGTGACGTATGCCTGTATTTGTTCGGGAAGAGTAAAGTAAGCACTTTTATCCAGAATGAGCTGAAATTGTTTCCTAAGTTGTTCTTGAATGTGGAGAGAGTCTTTGGAGGTCGTGTTTGAAAAAAAGGGTTTGGGACTCTATGAATTTTCATCATCCATGTCTTCTCTGCCTAGATAATAAATAACTATTTAAAATAGAATAAGTGACTTCTCATAAAACATGAATGCTGAGTCCCTTCGATTTTACAGTAATGAACTAGTACTTCCTTTGCACAGTTTTAACTTTATTCTGATTTCTTATGAAAGAGGAAATAGGGAGCTCAAGTATTAACTGTAAGGAAAACCAGATTTCATTAAATGATGACCTAGATGTATTTATATTATCACACCGTTCTATTCTTTGCAGAGAAGGGCTTATGATTTGATTTTTTTTCACAAAATGGTAGCTACTTTGCTCTCCTTTTGATATCAGTTTGGTTTTCCTTCATATATTTAGAGTATAATATGCTATATTTGGCCTTCTGGCTTCTCAAGTTGAAAACCGTGTGCATCATTATAACTGCTATGAGTGGTCTGATAAGATGATGAATATGTTCTCCATTTGTTGTTTTCCAAGATTACTGTGGAACCATGGTTATTGAGGGAGAGGAGGCTCCAATTGCCTACACATTGGATGATACTAAACCTGATGGCAACTATGCCGCTATAATGGGGTAAGACACATAGATGGTGTTGTGGCTGCTATTCAGTGTTGACAAGGTAATCACATACAATTAATAAATGGGTCCCAAACTTTGTTACATAATTTTTTAACCCAATGGCACTATATTCCAAATCCAGCAGGAGAAAAATTCTTATTGACTCTTTTTTAAAGTGTCTTCCAATAAATGAATATCTAGACAGAGAGTGCCAATAACATTTTAAAATTTGTTATATTAATCTTCTTTTTTATATCTAGTGGTGGGGTTAGATATATTTTGGTGAGCTATCTCTCGTTAAAAGCATGATATTAAGCCCTAACTTGGGATGTTTTACTAAGAGGACTTCTTGCAGAGGGGTAGGCATCAATGCTATTTATGTGAGATGCTAAGACTTTTGAGTCCCGCCTGGAGAAGAGCTAAGACCAGTCCAGTCTTCAGCTTGCCAGGAAAGACCAGTACAGATGGGGGAATGTCTTGGAGGCTAGAATACAGCCCAGAAAGGTGGTTGCCTGGAGCAGCCAAAATTGAGATGGGTTCTAGGACATGTATGAGTTTATCTCAGAGAGAGCCAAGGGTCAGAATGGGGAGATCAAAGCCAATTGTAAGTTGAAGGCAATTTTAGGACTAGAAATGGAGACAGATTCTAGAAGACAGGGTTCCAGGGAGGCATCCTGGTGGAGACAGAACCAAAGAACAAGGACTGGATGAAATTGGAAGGGTTCAGACATGGCTTTAACAGGGCGTTTGAGGCCCAAGGCTTATTCCTATTGGCCCCCAGCAGGGTCGGGGGAGTGAGTCAGCCATAGTATTATACTAGGCAAAAATTATGACTAGTCATCTATTTTTAGTCGTTTGTCTCCCTGAAGTTAGAAGGCGCTTTTCAGTGTCAGGAATGTAAACAGTAAAACTTTCCATCTAAGCTGTAAGCTAGTGTACAGTTTGCTTCTTTTGGTTGGCTTTTACGATATGCAATGGGCACATGTGTAGCTATAGAAATGAGACCAGAATGAAAGCAACCATTAATTTCTTCCCTTTTTCTTGTTTGTGCGTTTTAGATTTATCCTGGCCCACAAAACCAGAAAACTGGCACGTCTTACCAAAGAAGAAAGGTAATAAAGGAACTGCTCCCCGCTCCCTCCCTCCCTGTCTTCTCTTTCCCTACCATGCTTTCTTCTTTTCTGCCTACTTGCCTGCCTTTCAATCTTACTTAACTTTTCAGTTTACAGACTGCTTAATTATATGTGTATTGCCAGTGCTACATGTCTGCTATGTTAATTATAAGGGTCTTGTATAAAGGCACAGTGTTGAGAACTTAAGGATCAAGTATTCAAATGAATATTTATTGAGTTTATTGTACATAAAGCACCATACTAGGGGCTATAGAGAATACGAAAATGGATTTAGCCCAGGAACTGAAAATGTGCTTATGGAGGAGATAAATAGGTGGGCAAATCACTGTGTTGCAGGGCAGTCTGCAGTACATATATATGTGCAATGCATAATAATTACAGGTTATAGGTACAGAGGGACTCATTTCTCTGGGGTGGTAATTTCTTCTGGCAATTAGCATTCACCACTGCCAATTATTTATTCCCATACCAGTACCTAGTCACCAAGTAAGAACTGCTGAATTATATTATGGTACCTGCTTTCTGCTTCTGTCAAGGTGTTCCTCCATGACCAATGCCATCTCTGCACATGGCCAGGGCTGCAGACATCTGCCTGGGCCACTTACCGAAAAACATTCCCACTAGAATATAAGATCCTAGTCAGGCGTGGTGGCATGCATCTGTAGTTCCAGCTTCTTGGAAGGCTGAGGTGAAAGGATGGTTTGAGCCCAGCAGGTTGAGGCTGTGGTGGCTGTGAGCGTGCCACTGCACTCCAGCTTGGGTGACAAGAGTGAGACTCCAACTGAAAAAAAAAAGAGTATAAGATCCACACAGGTAGGATGTTTGTCTGGTTGGTTGTCTGCTGTATCTCCCATGCCTGGAACAAATCTTGTCCCACTTTGTCTTTTGATCTTATTTATGGTTTATTCGTTTTATACTATAATAAAATTGTATTGTTTTATGTAGACAAATGTATCCATTTTTCAATTGTGACTTCTGGATGTCTATCATGCATGAAAAAGACTTTCTTATTCCAAGATATTTTTTAAAAATCACCATTTTTCCATTACTTTGATGACTTATCTATTGTATGCAAATATTTGATCCTTTAAAAATATATTTTGGCGTAAGGAGTAATGTAGGAGTCTAACTTTGTTTCTTTTATGGGCAGCCATTTGTCCCAGTGCCATTTTATTGAATAATCTGTCTTTTCCCTATGGGTTTAAATTTCTCACCTTTATGAAGTCTAAATTAATTTTATGTCCTTTGTTCTATGTCTGTATTTAATTTGATTTATATGCTCTCCATTTGACCATTCCTCCCTGCTTGTGCCTATTTCATTTATGTAAAAACAAAGAAAAAGAGAGAGGAGAGAGAAGGAAGAGAATGAGGGAGAAGAAAACAGGCATTTTCACACACTTTTGTTTGTAGAAAGAGCTCCTGGATTTAAAATAAAAATAAAATAATACAATAAAAATAGTAATTCGGACAACACACCACTTTATTTTCTTAAAGATTTAGCTACAATCTCACATGATTAATATTAGTGCTCTCATAAAGACATGTGTAATAGAACAAAATGTCTTGTTTTTAAAAATAAAGCCTGGGCAACAGAGCAAGACTCTGTCTCTAAAAAAAGTTGTTTTTTTTTTTAATTAGCTGAATGTGGTGGTGTGTGCCTGTAGTCCTAGCTACTCAGGAGGCTGAGGCGGGAGGATTACTTGAGCCCAGGGGTTTGAGGCTGTGGTGAGCTATGATTGCACCACTGCATTCCAGCCTGAATGAGTAAGACACTGTCTCTAAAAAACAAATCAATTAATTAAAAATAAAATAAATATAAAATTAAAATGAAGCATTGACGCAAAAACAGTGGCCCATAGTCTTTTTAATGAAGGGATAGTTGTCTGTTTTACATTTTCTTTTCCTTCCTTTCTCCCTTCATTTTCACTTTTGTCTTTTGTTTCCCCCTATAGGTTGAAGAAACTTTGTGAGCTCTATGCAAGAGTTCTGGGCTCCCCAGAAGCTCTGGAGGTAAGGCTGCTTCCCAATCCTTTTCTAAGGAAAAGAGATCTTGCTTTGTCCTCAGGGGGCTAGTAGGGATAGGTTCATGAAAGTAGGACCCTAGAGCTCATGTCTTTCCTGGTATACTCACAGATGTTCCTGCAACAGGGCTGGTCAATTTATAAGTGGTCCCAGAGAGTGTGGGCCCTGGCTGTGCTGGTGGTGGATCAGGGACCCTGAAACATGCTGTGGTTTAGGTGATGCTTCCTTGTCCTTGAATTCAGAGCTCTTCCTAGAGCAGGGCATTGGGCCACTCTGATCCCAGCTCTGTCAATGAGGGAAAGAGAGGAGCTTCTGCTCCTGGTAGGGAGATCCTAGATCCTGGTAGCCAGGACAGAGATGAAAAGGGTTTCTTTTTCTCTGGTGGTCTTGTAAAAAGACCAGAGTCTCATTCATGTGCATAAACCTTTATCCACCCCACCCACTCCACCCACCCCTCCCCTGTCTCACAGGGAAAAGTAGGATGATCTGCCCTCCTCCCACATGTCTCTTTTTCTGTCTTGTTTTACTCTTAACATTGGGGATGGAAGGAAGACAGACTGATGGGCTCAGAACTCTCAGCAGAGTTTCCTAGACACCTTTGGAAGTAGCTCGAGGAAAGAGTGATCCTTAAATAAATCAAGTAGAATCCCAAGGGGGTTATAGGCGGGATGGGGGCAGGGTAGGGAGTCAGAGGGTCCAAGATAATCATAACAAGTAGCCATAACCACCTCCCTCATAATATTTAAAATGATGAATTGGTATTCTACTGACAGTCACCAGACTGCTGGGTTTTTAATGTTTTGACATGGAAGATGTCACCTTTTGCAAGTGATTATTAAATCCAGTGAAGCATTTGAAGACAATTGAGACCAAAGTACAAATGAGCAGTTAAAGCATGAGAAAAAGCTAATGAGGGGACTGAGGATATTTAACTTAATAAGCCTCTTAAATCCCAATCTTTGCAGTATGTACCATGATCTAGTTGAGCAGGTACATGGCTTAGTCCTATCACTCTAACACTTCCTTGCTCAGCTTTGGAGTGACTTGCTTCCCTCTAGTCAAGTTGTGTCTTTTGAATTTGTCATTTTTGTTCACTATTTTAAAGCAGAAATTCTACACTGCAGATGTTTTATACCTGATAAAGGTGAAACACATGCTCTTGAAGTTTCTTGTTCCTTCTCAGCAAATGAGCTAGAACAATTTGTTGACTCGCTTAGAGAGAAAAATAATGTTAATGAGGAATGTGCTTTGTTTCATTTTTTGCTTTCATATACCATTTATCAAATATGAATGCAAGCATAATTTCCAGGCTCAAAGGCAATAAGTGAAGTAGCAAAACAAAAAATACAGTATATACACACTAAAAAAAAATCACCTGACATCTGGTAAAAATTATTAGTTCATCTGTTCAAAAATACCACTCAAGATATTTCACCCTGGTAGATATTCAAGCTTTTTTGAAGTTATTTTCTGAGATACTCTCAGGCTAAAGCAGTTTGTAACTGAAGTTCCTTCAGCGACCTGTGAAATGGTTGTTTGGGGAACTTAAGATGGAAAGAAAAGCACTTCTCATATTTCCAAAAATGTTGATCATTTTTCATTTGGGAAAGTATCATTTTCTAAGAAGAATGTGGATGATTAATTACTGATGATAAAAATGAGTTGTTCCTGTCCTCATTTGCTCTTGGCCCAGAGGGCTACTGCTTTACTTTTGCTTTGGTGTCTGTTGTGTGGAAGGAAGACATTTCTGGGAGCTAGGAAAGGTGAAAGTTCAACTTTTCTTCTGATTGGCTGAAAACAGCCAGAGAAGGATGTTCAGATAATGGACGTAGCCCTCAGATGCTGGGGTGTGCAGCGTGGTGACACTGCAAAAGACCTGGGGTCATTTAACCCATCAGGAAGTACCTCATACTTTGTTAATAAGATGCTTTACAAATGACTATCCAAAGTCAGCTATGTGATTGCAGATTTTTAAAAACCAAACATATTTCAAAATCTATTTTAAATAAGCATTTTTCTCTTAAAACTATGTTCATTTTATATTTTCTAAGTAATGCTTAATGATAAAGCTTCTGTTTAGTTACTTAAATAAAGAGATCAAGCTTTACAAAATTCCAGCCAAAGTTTTGCGTGTTCATGACAAAAACCTATGTTTTAGACCAGTAATTGCTTACAAGTACCACCATCAACAGAAGTGCCACATCCACTTAAATATAGTTTGTCTGTCCAACTTCCCTTAACAAAGCTCACCTCCTCCAGTGTTTTTTTTTCTGTCCAACCACTCCAGTAAACATAAATTTTTTCCAAAACTTTTGCTGAAATCATTAGGCACCACAAACTTCTTTTAATAGGTAAGACCAGGTTAAAAATAGAAATAAACAATTGCAACTGATGAACAAGATACGAATGAACCAAATGAGAACACTTCCTAAAATTTGAATTTCTTAGTTTATTACCAAGGACATTTACCTGCCCAAAGACATATCTTCAAAAACATCAGTACAACAAAACTCTATTTCAGATATATATTTCTTCGCCAGCACAAAGCCTCTGACCTGTTTGACTTATTCTAGACTAGGTAGCTCTCTCTGCATCTCCTTCAAGTTTTTGTTCCTTTGCTTTGCAGCCGGTGCATTATGAAGAGAAGAACTGGTGTGAGGAGCAGTATTCAGGGGGCTGCTACACAACCTACTTTCCCCCCGGGATCATGACTCAATATGGAAGGTAAAGTAAAAACGTGATAAGCTATGACTGAAACCTCCTGCACCTGAATCCAAATTCTAACTAGGTTCAGGTAGCTCTTCTCTCCTGTTTATTGTAAATACAAAAAAAAAAAAAAATCCACAAGTTCCTTTTTATCTTGTGAATCAAGTGAATGAAGTCATTATAATTATATATGATCGCATTGCCTTTCACTCAATTTTTCTGAAGGAGCAATCTCAGTCAATATAACCAAAGAAGGCTGTAGCATAAGAAGAGCAATTTAGATAATCATAAGACTCACTTACATTGTCGGAAGAAGTGTGCTTAAATAGAGTTTAGAACTCAGTAAAACATCCTGAAATGCGACGTGGGAACAGCATTATAAAAGCAAAATGAATTCTAGGCTGGCCAAGAAAGGGCTTGGGTTCCTGTCCTGATTCTACCGATAACCAACTTTGTTATCCTGAACAGGCCACTTCTCTCTGAACCTCACTTTCCTTAGCAAGTGGATGAGAAAGCACAAGATGGTGCACAGTAGCCAATAATCAGTATGTTCATAAAAGTATGAGTTGTTCTTTAACATCCTTTTTGAGATATGGTTCACATACCATACACAATTTGCCCATTCAAAGTGCACAGTTCAATGACTATTAGCATTCATAGCATTGTGCATCCAAGTATGAGTTAATTGGATGTTTAGTTAATTTATTTGATGACAATAACAAGGTATGAATTAATGATTAGCAATAATTTTTATGACCACTATAGCATTACTAAACCAAGCAATAATTTACTGCTAAGAGCTCAACCTAAATGAATAGGAAATGTAGAATAGTGAGTGAAAGGCTGTTGAGAGTATACAGCAAATAGAGGGTGTGAGTAAATGAAAATGGCTATCAGTCTGTCCATAAAAACCAATCCAACAAGGATGAAAACCTGCTTATCAGAAGATACATAATGACTTTGACTAGCACTTACCTTATCTTCATGAAGATGGTCAAATATTATCCAAGAGAACATTCTGGGGCCAAAGGGCACCACCTAATAAGCTCCTGGATAATTAGGTTAATTTTAAGATAGGCCAAGTATAGAATGTGTCAATAGTATTTGTTTCATTCCATGTCTGTTTCTGTTGGCTAAGTGCCAACCATGTGCCATGTGCCATGCTGGAAACTTCAGTACCTAGAATACCTCTCCCTGCTGAGACGAAGCTGTGTTGAGAGCCAGGGTGAGGATGGGGAGAGGACAGAACATCAAATATTGACTCTAAATTACTTAGGTGAGTGCTCTAGTAGAGAAGCATAGACATACCATGGGGATGTAAGAGACAGGCTAGCCTTACCTAGAGAATTTGGGAAGGCTTCATAATGCACATGATGTAGGAGACAGAGAGAGGTTATTGGGGATACAGTCTGGGCAGACAAAATGGTATGAGCAAATGCTAGGAATACTACAGGCTCCCAGAAAGTCTGGGGGAAAAGCTCTGCATGAAGGGGCTATGGGGAATATTGAGGACAGAATGGAGAATCAGACCAGAAAGTGGGGAAGGAGCCTTTGCCTCATATGACATATTCAGGAATATAAGACTTTATCTTTCAAAAAGAACAGCCATCATTGCCTGGTTTTTGTTTTTGGCTTTGTTTTAAATCAGAAATGTGATGTGATTGGATTTATGATCTCAGAGCAGCAGGTTTTATGTTCAACCCCTTAAAGAATGTCAGATAAATGCCCTTTTAGGTGGGGAACAAAAAGGACACTCACCTGCACTGGCCTGATGCTGACCTCATGATAGAAGGAAGGTAAATCCCATTGTATCAGTCATTGGTGGTGATGGGGTAATGCCCTCTTTCATCTTTATTCCTTCCTAGGGACATATGTCAGGCTTCATATAATTATCTTCAGTTTGTAGGGTAGAAACATAGCTTAGTGACAAAACCCCCAGCCTGAGCAGATATACCTGCCCACAGGGCTTCCTTTGACTCTTCAGGGTCATGACATTTGGTGCACTGCAAGGAGTTTCATCTTCAGGGCCCTAGAAGTACACAGTAAATGTTCTGTTTCCAAAAGGAAGAGAGAGGACAGGATTAATAGTACAACTTTAGTAAGAACTAAATACACATTTTTAAAAAATATGACTCTCACTTTATCGCCCAGGCTGGAGCGCAGTGGCACGATCATGGCTCACCACAGCCTCTACCCCCTGGGTTCAGGTTATCCTTCCACCTCAGTCCCCCAAGTAGTAGCTGGGAATGTAGGTGCATGCCGCCGTGTCTGGCTAATTTTTTTGATTTCTTGTAGAGCTGAGGTTTTGCTATGTTGTCTAAGCTGGTCTTGAACTCCTGGGCTCAAGCAATCCTTCTGCCTTGATCTCCCAAAGTGCTAGCATTACAGATGTGAGCCACCACACCCAGCCTAAATACACATTTCTTCAAGAAGTTTTCTTCTGGATAGAGTGAAAAACTGATTGTAGTGATTATGCAGTAAAACTCATAAGTCACAAGAAATATATGTGGAGCTCTCCTTTATGATATCTTATATCCTTTGTAAATACATACTGTCTGTTCGTTCACCTGCAAAAGAAGGGGAAGGTGTTTTTATTATCTAGGTTTTTTTCCCCCTAAAGGAAGACAACTTCCACATGACAAGTGGAGGGAAACTATCTCTTTGTTTACAATTAATTCTTGATTTTTATATTTTTACATTCTGATTGTTAGCATGATTAGTTCTCTAAGCCTTTGTTCTCTCTTCTAATATTTCACTGTAGGGTTTCACCAGGCTTCCCAGAGGTTTCCAACCGGGGTTTGTTTTCTCTGTTTGAAAAAAGTGAACATGCAGTGAAACGTCATTGTTTAATGAACATGGAGAAAGTAAATCCACTTTCTCTTGGAGGGAACCCTTCCTGAATATCCTTAGGTTCTTGATAATTCCAGATTTATTCCATATATTGTTATCAGTGTACTAATACAGATGCTCCTTGACATATGATGGGGTTATACCCTGATAAACCCATTGTACGATAAAAATATCACAAGTTGAAAGTGTGCTCAATACATCCAATCTATTGAACATCATAGCTTAGCCTAGCCTACCTTAAACATGTTCAGAACACTTACATTAGCCTACATTGGGCAAAATCATCTAACACAAAGCCTATTTTATCATGAAATGTTAAATATCTTACGTAATTTATTGAATACTGTACCGAAAGTAAAAACCAGAACGGTTATATGGGTACTCGAGCATGATTTCTACTAAACACGTAGTACTTTCATACCTTTGTAAAGTTGAGAAATTATAAGTCAGGGACCATCTGTATTCTATTATATCTTTTCCTGTATTTCTCTTCCTTTTTTCTTGACAACCACAATAAGGGAAGGTGAAGGAAAACACACAAATTCAAGTCAGCCCATTTGGTTTTTTAATAAAAGGCCCAGTGATGTACAGTGTTGACTAAGATAGAACATGGGTATTAGCTCTCAACATCCCTTATCTGACATAGTGGATTCCTGAGAGTAGATGAATAATGGCATGCTGATAGTGTTTCCTTATGGTATCTTTGTTGTAGTCACAAAGAACTGCCCCACTTACAAGCCAAGTGATTTGACACTTCCATCCCTTGCATATCATATGGGCATTCTGTTAACCAGTAGTTATACACCAGGCAGAGCATGTAGGCTATAGTTGATATCTAGTAGACCTGGTTCAAACCCCCGCCTCTGCTATTTTTTATTAGTGTGGGTTTTGGCAAGTCACTGCACATTTCTCCATGTCTCAGTTTCCTCATGTGTAAAATGGATGATGATAATAGTAGCTACGTCATAGAGTTCTTGAAAAGATTGAAGAAATAATGCAGTAGAGAGGGGGAAGTATAACTAGGTGGTTAAGACTATGGGTCCTAGAGTCAGATTGACTGGACTCAAATACCAGCTCTGCCACTTTCTAGCTGTTACCTAGAGCAAATTACTTTGTGTTTGCTGCCGGCTGGATTCCAGGAAGTGGACTCTGAAACAATGATCAGCAGACAGGAAGTAACTTAGGGTGTGCCCTTACAGAATTGACACCTGTGAAAAGGAGAAGAAGGAAGCAGAGGTGGAAAGAGGAAGAAGTTGGGTTGTGATGCGGTTCAAATGAAAGCCTTAGCTGACTGCACAGGGGGCTCTGAAACTAGAATGGCCCTTCAGAGTTATCTCAGATTGGGGCTTAGAGCTCTGGTCTTTATAGCCTATGATGATAATTCACTGGATGCTGGGAGGAGGCATGAGCCAGGGTGATGCGGCTTTCTTCAGCAGACAATCTCTAAAGAGGGCTGACTTCAGAAGACCACCTTTCGGCAGCATATTCAGCAGCTGGGAATAAGTCTTTCATTCTTGAAGGGGATTTTGATGGTGCATCACAATATCCACCATAATCTACTTTCATATTCTCATCTGCAAAGTGAGGATAATATTTGTAGCAACCCCACAAGGTTGTTAGCTGTTATAATTCAATGCAGTAAAATTCAAAACTGATAGAAGCAAGTGCTCAATAAATAGTTATGGATCCATAACTATTTAACAGTTTTGTTAAATGTCACTGATGTTTATGAACGTCTTAGAAAACAGTGGATCATCCCCTTTAAGATATGGGGAAGCCAGAGTTCAGTGAGAGGAAGTGATTTGCCAAGTTCACTGGAGGAATAACCCAATGGGGAATTGTGGGACTGTGTCACCTTGTCCAGAGATGGAGAGCCATAAAGTGAGCCATATGACTGGGCTCACACAGTCCCTCACTTCATGTAGGTGAAGTAAATATGTATTTGACCTCCATCTTTGTCATTTCCTTTGCCTATAAGCTCTTGGTGCAGAAGTAGAACTTTGGCTTTTATTCCATTTTGTTTGTGACAAAGATCATGCAAGAGCTAGAGGAACCAAATAGACATTGTTCCTAAATAGCCAATGTCCTCCTTAATGTTTAGAAGCTGAGGAAAGTGACCAGCCTTGGCCTTTGTGGGAAAGCTCTTCTGTGGCTTTTTGAGACGGACCACTTTTACTTCTTTGCTTTTGTTCCAAGGGTTCTACGCCAGCCAGTGGGCAGGATTTACTTTGCAGGCACCGAGACTGCCACACACTGGAGCGGTTACATGGAGGGTGCTGTGGAGGCTGGGGAGAGAGCTGCTCGAGAGGTAGGGTTTGGGGTCCCAGGCTGTGGGGAAGGAGGCAACTCATAGGCCTGACATACAGATCAAAGGTGTCTGAGGTCCTGGAGGTCAACTCACCAGTGATCTCCATTTGAAGATTAATTAAATGCCATTTTGACAGCAGTCTCAGATGACGTGAACACCTTAACCCAAAAGTAATAGCAAAAATATCTAACTTGTCTGTCACCCAAGATAAAAAGAGCCCATGGGGCAAAAGATCAGCATGACTATACTTGAAAGAAGGCTTAGGTCTAATAGTCTAGAACCAAGCATATTTCTATTAGGACGCAAAATTCATTCACTGATTCATTTCACAGAAAAGATTTCCTGACAGTTTCTCTAATCTCATCACTGCTAAGGCGTGTTCACAACCATTAAATATTATGGTAGAACCTCTTATACCACAGGTGAAATACCTTTTGGAGCCTCTTAAAGATTGAGTTGACTGTTCTGGCCTTTTCCTTGGTGTTTTTGCTGGATATCCCAAGACATTAATTCAGTCCTTTATTTAGAGAGCAGATTAAGAGAAAGATGGTATCACTTTTGCTATTTGTCTTGATGCCCTTTCATTTCAGATCCTGTATGCCCTGGGGAAGATTCCAGAGGATGAAATCTGGCAGTCGGAAACAGAGTCTGTGGTAGGCTATATTTCATTTCATGAATTTAGATCTCTTTTCTCTAAATCCAGTTAATTGCAAGAACAACACACTTGTATATATTTTTTCCAAGTGATTCAACTCACAGACATTTAAATAGGTAGGAAGAATTAGAGCAGAGGTGAGAGATTTAGATGAATTTTGATAGATTTGTACCTGTCCCATCTATTGCAGATTATTGAAGAAAAATAATATTTTTTGATGCGAAGGAGACATTTCTCAGAGAGTTCTAGGCATATTAAGACCTCAATAAATGCCGGTTGAATAAATATCTAACCTGCTGATTCTCAACAGGAGGTAGCAAACAAGGAAAGGTATATTAGTATCCCTTGTCCAAGGGCAAAGAGGTGGAATGAAATGGAGCATATTTAGATCAAAAATTCATTTTAATATGCTTATCATTTTTGCAATGAAACCCCAAGAAGTTTTGTTGACTGTTAGAATGGATACATATAGGATAGAGTGAAAACACATTGTAGAGGAGAGGGTGAGCATTATGAGCAGAGGGAACATTATGTTGAATGGCTTGGAGGTGGGTAAGAATGGATCATGTTCAGAGAGCTGGAAGAAATATAGACTTTCTGAAATAAAGTGCACAAGCCCTGTACTAACACCAAACATTCTCTCAACCCAGGATGTCCCTGCACTGCCCGTCACCACGACCTTCTTGGAGAGACATTTGCCCTCTGTACCAGGCCTGCTCAAGCTGATTGGATTGACCACCATCTTTTCAGCAACTGCTTTTGGCTTCCTGGCCCACAAAAGAGGGCTACTTGTGCGAGTCTAAAGAGTGGGCATCTGTCACCACACCATCTTCTTATTGTGTTTCTGGTGTGGGTTGAAATAAAGTTCCATAAATACATACAGAAATTTCAGGGAGCATAAAGATAAGTCTGACTCTGATCACAGGAGACACAGCATCTCTCTCCATTGTGGCCCCTGGTTAATGTCCCTTACCTGGCTTAACACTCTGTTTCACCCATTTCCCAGTGTATTGCCCTCGTAATCTTTAGAATACTTAAACAGCCTTGTATAGGGTCCTCGCTGTCTCACAGCACACCTTGTCTATGCACAAGAAACTAGTTTTTTCCTTCCTTTGTGGCTTTGTGGTTGTCCTCCAACTTGCCTGTAATATCGTCATTTTCCCAAGTTCTCTACATTTGTCCTTAGAATCTTACATTGTTATATCTGAAAGACCTTAGATGCCATATAGTCCTTGCTTTCTTTTGTGTAGTTGAGTAAACTGAAGCGGACAGAGGTGGAACTTAATTGCCTAAAGGCCACAATAAGCCGCTGGTATCTGAGGTACTAGACATGGGTCCAGCGCTTTCCCCATCTCCCATCTCCTATAATCCTCAATTGCCCTCCATCACTCCCTGTCATAGTAGCAGATGGTGTTCGCTTGTGTGGGTATACTCTGCGCTAAGCTGTTCTGCACTACTCAGATGCTGTTCAGGATATAATCTTATGTCTTACTGTCTTATGCAGTGTGTCTCCAGATGATTTTAATTGTTTTGAGGGTAAAAAGTTGTCTTTTCTTCTTTTTGTATTCTCCGTTATGACTTGATATAAAATTCAGTACACACATAGATAATTAAAAATAAAAGTTGATTGACCAGATGTTTGTTGTCCTTTCTTTTGGGGTGACTACTTGCAAACTTTCAACAGATCAGATCAAGATCCAGTATTAGGCTTATAATTGTGGCTTTAGAGCATTTCGGCAAAATTTTCTTGAAGCCTGGATGATTCATACATTTTGATTGTGTGATCCATCATGGTTGGCATATGTGTGCACACTTGGTAAATGATTTATAATGATATGGCAAGGATGCTAAAAGATATGGCTCCTTGCTTTCACCCCCCCCAAGAAAAACTGTCAAAATAATTGTCATATTAATAAGCACTATGCTTAAATTATTAAGATAATTATAATATATTTCAGTTGACATTTCATATTCCTTATTAGTGCAAAGCTTTTTACTAGGTACACTCATTTATTTAAAACTATAGTTTCACAGTCCATTAAATCCTATTTGAACTACTTTTTAAATGAGATCATTTCAAAGCACTCATACCTCTCATCCCCCAAGGTCAGTTTTTATTGGGATGTATTTTAAATCCATAAATGACCATTCTTGTGCTCTCCTTTAAAAAAATGAAGCCTTTTACTCTTAGTATAAGTGAAATTTAAGAAATCTCCCAGGATAAATCAATAATAGAATAAAGTTTCTGATTTTACAGTGGCATTTACATGTGTGAATTTATAGGAACTTTAGAGACTTAGCCTGTTTTTGCATTGTTACAGCAAAATACCACAGGCTAGGTAATTTATAATGGACAGAAATATATTAACTTACAATTCTGGAGACTGGGAAGTTCAAGATCAAAGAGCCATAATCTGGACTTTTTTGCTGTGTTGTAGCATAGCAGAAGGCATCATATGGGTAAGAGAGAGACTTAGGTCCCCCATCTTAACATCACCTCACTGGGGATCATGTTTCCAACACATGAAGTTTATGGGACACATTCAAACCATAACAGAGACTAAATGAGAAAAAAAAGAATCCACTAAGGCTTTATTTATAACTGTTTTGTGAATCTGTTTTTAAATGTACTTTTAAAAACACAACATGGGGGTATCTTTTTGAGCACGCTATTCTCCAAAAAAGTCTCCCCCAAAAGTCATCACTAACTCCCAACATGTCTATTAAGAAAGAGTCAAATAAGGAACTGCCTTCTCCAAAATCCCCTGGACCACTCATCCTCCAGCTGAGTGAGGTGGCCCTTTTCTTGTTCTTCCAATAATGCATGCATAGACCTCTTGTCCTACACTTACTACATGATACTGCAATTGTGTCACCTTGTTAAATTATATGATTTGACTGAGATGCCAAGTTACACCAAATATCAGTTACCAAGCTGAGTCCTGAGATAGACAAAAATAGAAAACTTCAAAAGAAAGACCTAAAAGTCAGGGTTTTTTTTCTGTTGAAACCCTTCACCAATTTTGAGTATATAAAAAGAGTGGGGAGGGTTTTCTTAAGGGCAAATTTGTGAAGAGATTTCTTTAGAGAGAGCTGCCATGCTCTGAGTTCACAATACACCAAAAGGGAGGGACAAGGGGCTGCCTTCTCATTCCTAGTCTAATGAGATGAGCTTCAAGATACCCCAGTGAGAGCTTGAAATATCCCTGAAGAATCTGAAGTCCCGGATCCTATTCAAGATAGTTTTGACTGGATAGTGAGGAGGTACCACAGAGACTGCTGGAAAACAGAAGCTGAAGAGGAACCAAAGCTGGTTAACCAAAGGAGAGGTACTGCTTGTTTTGTGACAGTCAAGGTCATGGATAGAGTGAGAGACTCTGAAAAGAATACCTACAATTGTCCCCACAAGAAAGGAACAGTTCTCATAACAACCAGGCTTGGATCATATAAAATTAGAAGAGGACCGGTCAAAGTAGGAATGTTCAGTAAACGCCTTTCCTTTCTCCTTTTCAGCCTACCCCATAAAGTCCTAGAATCCATGTTTAGCAAGCTGAGCAAGGCGTACAGTAGGAAAGGAAACATTTATAATGTGCTCCAGAGAGGCGGCACAGCTGCCCCTGAAGCTAGTCCAATCCAGGAAAGGGAGGAAGATTGAGTTCTAAATCAAGTTCAGAGATTTGATTATTGAACACTCAAATTACTGAATTGAGACTGGTTTGTTACTTAAAGAAGCCATATGATTGTCTCTTACTTAAAAGTGATGGATAAAGTTATAAACGTGTCAAGGCTTTCAAACACAAGAAAGGGAGAAACTTCCCTCACATCACAGGTTTAAATGAACAACAGAGAAAAAATAAAGTCATGAGTTCTTTACATCCCATTCAACACATTTGTGTTATTATCTATTCTTGAGAGCAGAGACTGTCTTCTATTCATCTTTTCATCCTCCACGTCTCCTATGGTGCCTAAGCCATCATAGAGTCTCAAAAATAAGTAAATAAATATCCGTAATTATTATTTTAATTCTGGATTGACAGTCCTGGTATACTTACTCAACAAACAGAATGTTTCCGTGCTTTTTTCTACAGAGAGTTCATTTTAGTTTTTGCTCAGACTCATTTAGAAAATATCAACTGTCTTCTTGACTATATGTTCGTTGAGGTAGAATTAACTTGTTGGATACAATTTTCTTCTTGGGTAGATTGATGGGTCTAAAGATAAGCTTCTCACCTATGGATGCACATAAGCATGACCACAGAGCTTTAGAAAAACCTATGTGTCTAAACACATGGGGAGTTGAATATGGTAGGTTGGTAGGAGGGGAGCATCTTCGCAGACCTTCTTTGGGAAGGTCTTAATCAAGAGCTAAGAATCATCAGTGGTTCAAAGATGCAATAAGTCTTGGAGATCTAGCATTGAGCCTCACGTGTAGGACTGCTGCTTTCCCTCCATCCTCTTTCAGCTATCCAGCTCTATTGGCGTGAAAAAAAATGCTCAGAAAATACTTGGAACAAAAGGAAACAGTGTTGCTCTCTGAAAATTCAGCATTAATTCAACAAGTTAAAAAGTGAGATGTGTTTCCTGGATCATAAGAACTACTTGGTTAAAGAAAGAATATCTTGATTGGAAGGCGTGGTTGTCTTGGACTGGGTACCCCCTAAAAGGCAGAGCCACAAACAAGGGCTTTTATGTAGACCATCAACTCTGGGAAATGATCCCAGGGAGCAGAAGTGGAACTGGGAAGAGTAAAACAGGGAAGGAGGGAAAGTCGATACAAAGGTGCGTTACCATAGAGGTTGAACTAGCTTGGACACCCACCAACGATACAGAAGTATTCCCTTTTCTCCGCACCCGCACCAACAACTGTTGTTTTTTGATTTATTAAAGATGGCCATCCTTACTGGAGTTAGGTGGTATCTTATTGTAGTTTTGATTTGCATTTTACTGGTGATTAGTGAGGCTGAACATATTTTCATGTATCTGTTGGCTGCTTATATATCTTCTTTTGAAAAGTATCTATTCATGTTTTTGACCACTTTTTAATAGGGTTTTTTTTTTCATTCAGCTCATTTGAGCTCCTTGTAGATCCTGGATTTTAGGCCTTTGCCAGATACATAATTAGCAAATATTTTTCTTCCATTTTGTGGGTTGTCTCCCCACTCTCTTGATAGTTCCTTTTGCTGTTCGAAAGCTTTTCTGTTTGATGTGGTCCCATTTGTCTATCGTGGCTTTTATGGCGTTCACTTTTGGGAACTTGGTCAAGAATTTGTTGCCTACTCCAATGGGCATACAAATTGATCTTCCATATGATCCAGCAATCTTTCTCCTGGGAATATACCTGGAGGAACATAAATCGTTCTACAAAAAAGACACCTGTACAGGCATGTTTATAGCTGCACTACTAACAATAGCAAAAACATGGAGCCAACCCTACTGCCTATCAAAAGTGGATTGAATAAAGGAAATGTGGTACAGACACACAATAGAGTATTATGCAGCCTTAAAGAAAAGCAAAATCATGGACTTTGCAGCAAATTGGAGCTGAATACCATCATACTTAGTGATCTATCATAGAAATGAAGAACTGAATACCAACCGCATGATCTCACTCATAGTGGGACTTGAACATTAATCACATTAGCACAAGAGAGGGATTGGCAGTCACCGGGCACTGCTAGGGGAGAGAGGGGACATGGAACAACGCAAAGGGTACCTGCTCCCAAACCAAGGGAAATGAGGGCCAGTTGGAGTCCCAAACTTTACCTGCATGCAGACTGCTTGTGTAGTTAATTCTTACTTGTCCTCCACATCTCTATAATAAAATAAAATTAAACAACAAAAACAAAGATGTGTTACAGAGCTGGCCCTTGCTGTGGATTACAGGGGATCAGTCCTGCTGGGAACTCTTTGAGGAGTCGTGAAGAATGTACCTCAGAATAGTCAAAGTGTTCCCTGAAATGTTAACTCACTTGAACTTCCAGGTTTGCCCGTGTACTGGAATAGCCACTGAAAGATGGGCTGAAAAGCAGCAGTGGTGCTCAAAAGTATCATATATAGGGGCCAACTTAAGAGGGTACAACTTAAAAGAGTTTCGTTGAGAGAAGCACAATATGGTACTTTTCTTCGTCCAAGGGAGAGAGATGTTGAGTCTTAGGAAGATAATCTGTTTATGTGACGGTCTTGTGAACATTTTAATTATAAAAAGAACATCCCAATTTGAGATCTTCAAGGTTACACAGCTGGGGTAAATCTCAAATGGGTAAATCCCATTTATTGGTAAGGTATCATGCTGAAAAGATGTCTATGAAGTACTGAATGCTTGTCAGGTCTGCAGTTCCCTTTGTAAAAAGTGGTCAGAAGTGAATCTTTGTAGAAAGTTCATCTGGGTTTTTTTTCAAAATCCTACTACCTACCCTGGCCACAACCCACTGGACTAGGGTTGGTTCCTGAGTCAAAACACCCTACAGGTAATCAGTGGTCCATGGGTTGACCATAGCCAAAAGCCTTTCTATGACAGGGGTGAAGACAAAGGGGGCACAAGAAGAGAGCTAGCTAAATCACAGGAATGGGAAAATTATGCCCAAATCTGTAGAGGTAACAGTAAAGTGGCTCTGTGTCGCTTGATCTATGGAGGCA